TAAAAGTCCTATTCCTTTATGCCCTAAATCCTTACAACTGAAAATCTTCCTAGACTGGTCAGTCTCAGCACCCTCATCACTGACTCAGTCATCCTTCCCTCACATCACTAGGCACTCCTGAACACATCTTACTTCACAGTGACTGGATAAACTAAGTCACCTTAAAACTAGCCAAAAATTCAGGGGATCTCTTATACATTTTTCACAATTCTAAATCATGTCTCTAAATCCTTACAACTGAAAATCTTCCTAGACTGGTCAGTCTCAGCACCCTCATCACTGACTCAGTCATCCTTCCCTCACATCACTAGGCACTCCTGAACACATCTTACTTCACAGTGACTGGATAAACTAAGTCACCTTAAAACTAGCCAAAAATTCAGGGGATCTCTTATACATTTTTCACAATTCTAAATCATGTCTCAATCTGTATCTAACAGCAATTTTCTTCAAAAGACCCTCTTTGCTTGATTACTAGTGTCAAGTCATCCCTCCGCCCCTCACTATTAAGTACCAGGTGGCAGCAAAAGTCTCTCCATGAGGTTTACACACCTGGAGTGAAGATAATGTCCACCGTGTTTCTTACCTCAGTCATTTCAATTCACTACAGACCAAATTGCATTTCGTTACCCTAAAAAACAAACAAAAAAGCAAAACAAAAAATTTAAAAATATCCCAGTATCCTCAATGATCCTACATAGGCAAGGTCTTTGCTGTCTTTTTCTAATGTTGCTTTATTCTCTGTTGGCGTCAATTAGTTATGGCAAAGTAATCTTGCATGTCAGCTAATTAACATTAATAGAGTATTTCATATGTCTACTATCTAGGAAATACTTTTTTCCTAAAAAACACCTCGCATCCACTATACTACTGATTTTAAGAAGGGAGGGGTGATGGTGAAGACAAAGAATCATAGTGCTTCAGAGGGCTTAGGACTCTAATCCAGCCCATCATTTTACAGACCATGAAAATGAGGACTGGAGTGGTATGCTATCTTTCCCTAACGTCACGGAGATAGAACATGCCATTTTTGAAGCAAGGATCTTGGCCTTCAATCCCTGTTCAAAATCAATTTTGTTTCACTACACCTCCCAACTGTACTAAAACCTAGATTTCCCTTTGCTATGTACTAGTGTCTGTTTTTGTTTTTGTTTTTTTGTTGGGGGGGGGGCAGGGCCTCCCTGTAGCCCCAGCTGGTCTGGAACTCACTATGTGGAACAGGCTGACCTCAAACTCTCAGAGATCTACCCGCTTCCCAAGTGCTGTGATTAAAGGCCTCCACCTCACCTGGCACACCACTGACTCTTTGACTTAAGATAAAACATGTACCTTAGACACATAGCCATTTAAACACATACAGTGTTATGAGAATTCCTTCCCTGGGGAAACATAAACACTGTCTACCTTATAAGGCTCCAACAACAAACCAAACCAAAGAACAGCTCCACCAAAGTTTACCCTGGGGAACTAATGGGTTTACTGGGCTTACTTCCAGAGCAGAGGTGAGGGGTTATTTACAGAAGCCTGGGAAAGTCCTCACTAGGCACAAATGACAGCCTCCCCATAGCTATACATGTAGAATGATCCCTTCGCAGCCTACGTACTTTAGTACCTTCCTAGACCAAGAGGCTGCATGCAGTTTGAGCTGAATTGCATACAAATGGCCAAGGAGGTGCAGGAGGGAAAGGCCTGAATCTCAGGTGATGATCCAATGATCCTCCCCCATTCTTTCTATGAAAGAATGGCAACAGGCCTGACTTGGGGGTTGAAGTGAGGGGTGTCTCTTTCAAGAAGTCACAGCTGATCTGATAAAAATGATGGCTGTTATGCTCAGAGGATAGCACTCTTCAACACACACACACACACACACACACACAATCAACATCCTTCTCCCAAAGACAAGAGAATAGCAACATCACAAAAGAGGGGATGGAGAGAGGGATAGTCTACTGGTCATCTAAAATAGTAATTCTCAGAATAAATGTTAAAAATACAAGCATAGATATTTGTCAATCTATAACTACAAAGCATATAGCTTCCATATCCCAATTTCTCCCACCTCCATAAAACCACAGATTTACAGAAACATTGTTGTATCTTTCAATTGTGCTGACAGAGTAGGATGTGTTTAATTCAACTCTTTGATAGACGAGAAACTCCTTGCTTACAAGCAAGGATGAGATTTGCGGGAGATGAACTATCAAGTAAACGGCAGCACTAGGACAAAAATCATGGTCCCCTATTTTTTCTTTTCTTTTCTTTTTTTTTCTTCACTTTTTACAGCGGATTAAGTTATAAAGTTTTCTGGGGCCCAGGAATTTCTGCAAGTGCCTCAACTGCCCTTGGCCACCTCGGAACCTGGAAGGAAATCTGTGGACACCTCTTCTTCGGCAACTCCTGGCTACACAGGGTACAAAAAGGACACGCTTTTCTGGTTTAAAAATCCGTGAAAGGGGAAATGAGAGTATAATGTATATGATATTCGGGTGAGAGGGGGCCTCTGAGGAAGCCAACACATTCATTTAACAAATAAGTAAATAAGGCACAGAGAGGGTAATGGTCCTGGACAAGGTCACACAGAGTCGATGCCACAGGTTAAAAGTGGAACTGAGAGCTCCTTATCCCCAGAAGTGGCAGCCTCTCAAAGATGTATTGACCACCGAGTCATTTCTCGGATGGACAAGCCTTCCTCAATTTACCGGGCTAAACATTAGTATTAGAATGGTGGAATAAGTGAGGCCCACAGCGTGTGTTGGGGGAGGTCCCCAAAATCCGGGCCAAACCTCCCATTTCGCTGACGAAACCGAGATCCCGAGAAGGCTCTGCATGCCGGAATCTTGGGCTGGGTGCACAACCAAGGCCTGGAAGGCCAGAACTACTTATCCAGAGGCTCCTTTCCTGGGAGCTGCAGGCCCAAGGGGCCAGGAACCCGAGAGCGAGAGTCCGGCCAGAGCCCTCCATCCGCCCCCGACCGCGCACCTCTAGCTTCCCAGCCGCCTCCCTGGGCCGCGCCTCACCTACGCCGGCCCTCCGCCTGTTATTGTGGTTCAGAGGAACAGAGAAACACGACAGACTCTTCCCGCGGCCCCCACCGCCACAGCACTTCCGCTTCCGCCGCCGCTCGGGCATTCCGAAGTGTTGTCATCCGGGGCTGGGCCTGGATCTGCCCCACCGCGTCCATATTGAGCGTGGCAACGTGGTGGCGAAGCAGCCATGTTAAGCGTGGCCTTTCTGACACGCATCCTTCTTCCGGTAACGTGAGCATGCCAGGCCGGAAGCGCCGAGACTCGGGAGCCCTGGAACCAGGGTTTGGCGGCCCGTCAGTGGGACTGATGCTGAGCTATCTGGAGTAAGCCTTGGGCTCCTGTCTTTGTTATTTGTCAAATGAATAGGTGAAAATAAAGCCACCCCCATCCCGCAAAACAATTCGACTGAAGCGAGAACGCTTTCGTTTTTCGGGGTGGGGGGCGCTGTAGAAGGAGAGGACGCAGTTAGAAATACTAAAATCATTACGTGATTTGGAAACATTGTCTTTGCGTGTATGTAGTTTATAGTATCTTACATTCCATGGTTTTCACACCAGTGCCTCATTAATTTCTGAGCCTTTGATTTATGGCATATGAGCCAGGGATCAGGTTGATCATTTCTTGTTTTCTAAATTCTCTTCAGAAAAGATAACTGTGACGGCAGAAAACGAATAAAATCCAGATTTTAGCTCTGAAGTCCCATGTTAATGCCCTTACATGTATGTAACGAATGTGGGCTACAGCACTCAATTCTCAGTAGGCACCTCTCGGGGCAGGCAGAGTGTATGTGCCTAGAAGCATTCAGGCCTCCATTTGACAAAATACAGGGATGCTACGCTTTTGGAGAAGGAAATATGGCTCATGGGAGCACCATGTTCTCTTTATTCTTTTTTATACCAGACCTTCTGGTTTTCAGCTGCTTTCTCAGTGAAGTTTGGCACCCTGAGCTTTAGCTTTTCTTTAGTACTCAGTTCTAGCTACAGAGTTCTATGTGCCAACTATGTATCTTGAGTTAGAGGCCTGGAAGAAAAGCCAAATAAATCTTAATCATAACGTTCATATTGCATAGCTCCTGTGAGTGAATATAAAGTTGTATTCTCATGTTATTGTTTCTGTCAATATTATATTTAGACCAATAACTAAGAGTAACTTTTTTTTTCTGTTTCCTAGGTTGTTTTGAAGAATGAATAGGAATACCTATCTAGTACTGAGCCTGGCATAATACATAAGACAAAGTTTATTTTACCAGAGGTGAATCTTTTCAATTTGATATATTCTTTCATTTGATGGACATTTTTTACACAGAAATACAGCTCACCTTTCAAAAGGAATAAATGATAGTTTGTTCTGGAAGCACATATAAGTGATTATGGTCTAGGAACACAGACTCAGGTTACACCCAAAACTATATTCCAATGTGCAGCAGTTATGAGAAGTTTTTAGAGTAACAGAAAAAGAAAATCATAGATCACTTTTAAAAGATACTGGTAGGAGTATCAGGTATGTGGGTTATAATAGATGGAAATCCCTGTTATAAAACTCAGGAATTATTTTTTCCTGTCACTGCTTCAAGCTCTGTTCCTTAATCTTTAGAAGAATGAAAACTAATATGTTAGACTGTAGATTGAAATGCCTAAAGGCTTATGTTCGTCATTCAGCCAATGTTTACTAAAAGTCTAAATATAAAACCTGGGAATTTAACATGCACGAGGGATACAGAAATGACTGGGAACTAACCTCTGTTCTCAACCAGGTGTGGAGACACTATTTACAAAGATACTTAGTGAAATTCAGAAGTCCTGGCACACAATTGCCAAGATGTCCAGGCAGCACAGAGAAGGAACACTAAGTACAGGCTCTGAACAGCTACATCTGTCATAGTTTCAAGGACTTTCATTAACTTGCTCTTTTCATCCAAAGTTGTTGTGGAACGCTCTTCCCTGGGCATGACATAGCCATTGCCCTCTTGAACTCTCAGTGGCTGTAATTACCAACAGGAGACTTACGCAAGATTGGGTCCATTAATGTTCCATCATGGAGTGGGAAGGCGTTTATTATTACCCCTGAGACTATATAGGCAGTTATCCATTATCCATTTCTATGGGACAGGGGTTCACAAGACTACATCCCACTACAAAGATTTATAAACAACAGTTGCAGAGAGAGAAGGGAAAGGGGAGAAGGGGAAGAGAGAGAGAGAGAGAGAGAGAGAGAGAGAGAGAGAGAGACTGAGATTTTCTTCAATGCTGTATCTGCTCATAAATTGTCCACAACCCTGTAATAAAACTTTACCTATGCTCCTATAACTAACCCTAATTAAATGCCTTGGTTTCCCAAGCTAGACTTGAGTGATCCATCATTGGGTTTGTCTCTTTAGGAAACATCTACATTATGCCCCAAATGTGGGGCGTGACAAAACCAAGGCTGAGTCTGGGGGGAGCACTTGCATTGCCTCTGCTGTGGGTGATGAGTCCACAGGGGCAATCCTGATGTGGCCGTCCTTCCCTATGTGGTATGGAATGGCAGGTCTCCTTGCTGTGCTAGCAGTTGCATTGTCCATGCTGTGGTGAAAAGATATGCATCTAAGTCTGCCCCATCTAATGCTGGAGTGTCTGTTGGAATATTCCAAGATAGCTTAGCTGTCTTCCTCTATAACATGATATGGAGTGTCCCACACCTCCCTGATAAATAGGGTTCACAACATGATTATGGAGACACCACCCCAAATGGCCGAGGGGGTAGAGAACATATTACAGTAGCACATGTGGGATAGCATCACAAGCAGGCTGTAGGATCAGAATCAATTGCCCTTGCTCTGGCAATAAGACATGCAACAGAGATTATGCTGTCTTTCCAGAAAGGATTTGCTTGGGTAAGGGATGAATTTAAAAAAAAAAAAAAAAAAAAAAAACATGAAGATACTATCTTCTGCACTAGCTTCTGAATTGATGGGAAAAGTGATGTTGTATAGCACTATCCTAGCAAATGTTAGTCACAGCCAGTTTTGTTGACTGTTGATATTCCTGCATAGAAAGGGGTTGATTGGGGCAGGTCTTTGGAGCACCACCCCGAGGATAACCAGCCACTCCTGCTAGATATTTGTATGCAATTCTGTCCTACTTGCTTGTGGCCTGGGGTCTCAGAGAGGTGCTAGAGTTATAGACTGGGAAGATTCCAGAAAGAATGCTCTTGACATTTCCAATGCTTTAGGGTCATCCACAGTCCAGCCTCCAAATTCTCACCCATGCTCTGTATACATTGATTTCTCAGAGTGAGTTGTGGTGGAATCAAACTTAGTTTTTCCCTAAGGACCTTATGAACATGGGAAAGACGTTGTTTAATCCTCCCCAGGTATCCTATTTTGCTTTCTGTTGTTGTGATAAAACACTCTTGTTTTTGTCTAAGAGTCTTGATTGGGATTGTTTTCTCCACCAATTAAAGAAAAAGAAGGAAGAATCTCAGATACAGCGGGCAACAAATTGTTTTGAAGGTGAAGAAATACACACGCACACATGCAGACTCACGCAGAGACAGATTCCCCACGAGAGAGCAAGGGATTTGGAACCCAAAATCTGAGCCTCCCTGCCAGTCTTTAAAATGTTTTGGTGGTATAGGACAGGTCTCTCTCCCTTTATTTCAGATTGGTCACTTTAAAAAAGAAAACAAATGTGGAAAGATTGGTGTCAAACTAGAGTTTCTTTAAAAAAAAATACAGAAAGTCAAATTGTATGTCTTTGTTTCTATGCCTGTTGCTGTGATAATATACTGGGACAAGGGCAAGTGAGATGATTCAGTGGGTAAAGGCACTTGCTACCATGCCCCATGGTCCCTCGGACCCACAGGGTGGAAGGAGTTACCTACCACAACTAGATGATTTTGACCTTATTGCCAAAGACATTGCACACTTTTGTTATAGGACAATAAGAACTGAAGCTGAGACTGTGTTGAGAGCTTCCTCCCAGTTGACTAGTGATGACAGACATTATGCCAGGAGAGAATTGTCATAAAAATTCCTATTCGTCTTGTGTGCTACACTGTCAGCATACCAGGAAAGATTTGCTCATGGCCACAATAGTGGCAGGACTCAGGATACAAACTACTCTTTTCTGACTGAATTTAAGGCCAGCTCCACTGGAGAGAGTTCATATTTGGTACTTTAAGCTCAATCAAAAGCCAAAGGTGGGGGATGTCATGGGCTCAAGTGTAGAAGCTACTGCTATTGTTTGATAAATAGGTATTATATGCCTGATAAATTATGCTATAAACGTTTATGTTTATGCCCATAGACTATTTCAGTTATTGTCTTTGTTAAGCAAACTTCCCTTCTGCAGTGGTATCAATTACTGCAAAGGCTCATATACTCATATTGAGTATAAGTGACTGTTGAATGCTCAGCCCTAATTTGAATATTTATATTACCTCCTCAAATGCTCAGGGAACATCCCAGTAGAGGGGTTAGAAAGAATCTAAGAGCCAGTGGAAAGAGTGAACTGTTGTGGAACACTGTCCTCTGGGCACGACATGACTCTTGCTTTCTTGAACTTTCAGCATCAGTAATGATCCAGACAAGACCTGGTCAAGATTGTACTTATTAATATTCTATTTTGAAGTCAGGAGGGCCTCATGAGACCCCACCCATGGATATATAGGCAGTTAAATGTTGGTGGGGACAGAGGCTCACAAGACTTTGTCCTTTCCTGAATATTTGTGGGTAAGTTAACAGTTGGGGGCTGAGGACCTTTTCTCCAGTAGTATATCTGTTTATAAGTTACCCATACACCTGTAAGTAACACTGATTAAACACATTGGTCCATCAAGCCTAGACTTGAATGGAATCTCTACTTTGATCTCTTGCTCATTTCCTATCTGGGGTGAATAAATATCTGTTCCTTTCCCCAGGAAAAGTTCACAAAACAAATGTGTTTCAGGATTAGTACTTCTCGCTGCTGTCTTCCTGTCTTACTATTCTGGCTCTGGCCCCTCTGCCACAAGTACTTTTTATTACTTTAAGTTTTGCTTTTGCTTTCTCATTCTTTTCAATTATGATGTCACTCTGCCAGTCATTTAAAAATAAACCATTATATTTAATATTTAGAAATACTGAGATGTAGCAGTGGCTATATTTTATAGGTCAAACAAACTTTGTTTTAGAGAGGTTTTTACAAGGTTTTCACATCCAATAAACTGCAAGGAACACTGTGAAACCTGTGGTATCTGCTTTTTAAAGACAATGATCCTAATTACTAAGTTATTTGCTCTTGTAATTTTTTTCATCCAAATGATAGTTTCATGACTGTCCTAGTTTCATTTTTGTTGCTCTGATAAAATACCCTTGCAAAAAGTAATACAGGGAGGAATGGGTTCATTCAGCTTACAATTCCAGGTTACAGTCCATTATTTTGGAGAAGTCTTGACAGGGTTTAAGCAGCTAGTTATATCACATTAAGAGCAGAGAAGAGCAAATGTACCCATGCCACCTGCTTGCTCATTCATCTAGCTTTCATCGCCTTTCTGTACTCCAAGCCTGCCATAGGGAATAGTGCTGCCCACAGTGGGCTAAATCAATAAAAATTAAGGTAAAGTTTGGGGAATTTTTCCTAGGGAGAGGAACAAACATTTATTCACCCCAGATAGGGGACCAACAATAAACCAAAGACATGCCCATGGGCCAGCCTGAAATACATAATTCCTCAGTGGAGATCTCTTTCCAGGCTGTTCTAGGATGTGCCAAGTTGAGAGTTAAAATGAATCAATACAACTACCTAAAGAACAATATGAATTGAGTCAATCCTATGCTGAAGACCTTGGCAATAATTGTCCTAATAGAGGTAAAAGAGACATCTCATTTTATTTTTGATTTTAATTTATATGATGTTTTGTGATTTCTAACAACTTTTCAAATATCAATTAGCCACTTCTTTGAGGAAATGTATATTAAGCTCCTTTGTCTATTTTTGATAAGGTTTTATTTTTGCTATTGACTTCGAGAGGTTATTTAAGATTTTTGGACACTTCTTTAGAAAACAAAGGCAAGTGTTGACAAAGATGCAAAAAAGAGGAGTCCTTGTATGCTCTTAGTGGGAACATAAATTTGTGCATGTACTGTGGAACACTATAGGGAAGTTACTATAAAAATTAGAAGTAGAAGTACCATATAATATTTAAATAAGTATACCTTTGGGTTTATCTATGGGAGTATTTCCGAAGAGGTTTTAACTGAGGAGGGAAAGCCTATCCTGAATGTG